CTACGTATCTTGCTTGGAATAGCACGCAGTGTCAACTGTAACTTGACAAATAAAAAAACAGCAAAATATGTATAAAAAGTAATTTAATTTAAAAGTGGAACACCCACTGTAGACAAATTTACACTATACATCATTTTCAGACAGAGGCAGGCACCATATACAGCAATATTACACATTATGACATTAGTTTTCACATTAATATCACTGCTGCTGTAGAGGATGGAATACAACAATGACATTGAAATGGAACACACAAGTTATTCTGACTGAGCACAGTAATTTCACAAATGGCAACACCAGCTGCTTGTTTTTATATGTACGACAGCTTTGAAATTGGTGATAATTTTAAACTTTGATATCCACATTTGTACAAAGCAGGCGTATTAATAAATAACAATGGCAGAACAGTGCAGAATTTTGCACTTTTTTAGGGGAAAAGCACAGCTAACATATTACAGGGAGACTGGCAGTCATGGGGGTATGTATTAAGAAACTCATGTGCCACCAACAATGTCCAGGGTGGTTTCCCCATAGCCAAATTCAATGAATGCTGTTGATGATGGAAGTACTGAAAGATGTCGTAATAGCACACTATAGTCACAAGGTCGCAGGTAATTCCTCACATGACGGGAATGAATGTCAGAGTGCAGTTCGGTCATGCAGCCTGTATAATGCAAAGGCTTGCAAATTTCCCTATAAAAGCAAGTGGGAACAGGGCTTCCTATGTTGATTCGGATGAATGCTGTTCCTTTATGTTCACATGAAGTGTCTAATCACCTATCTCATTTTTATAAATTCTTTGTTTTTTGCAGATATGCCAAAAAAAAGCTCCTCAAACTCGTCACAAGATAGACTTAGTACAGATTGCATCCCAAAAGAAAAGAAGTCAACAAGCATAAGTAATACTCCCCTAGAAAGGGAGAGCTAGCAGGATTTCATGAACAAAGAGGTAAAGAAGCATCTTTCCAGAAAATTAGATAGAAGAGTAAAATCACTAAACACAGACATGGCTATGAATTGTGTCATATCGCTATCGTAATCACGCTCAAGCCTGGGTTCACATATATGAGGTGCGGTATATCGCATGTAATTCACACAGGAAGTGCACCGCATTCCTGTGCAAATCACATGCGATTTGTGTGCAGTGCGATTGGATCCATACATTTTGTATGGCTGTATTGACACCACACCAGGGGTGGACTGACAACTCATGGGGCCCCCGAGCAATAGGGGATCATGGGGCCCCTGTTTCCTCACCCACACCCAAAAAAGCCTATGAAAAAGCCAATGAAAGGTACCAGGGGCATCTCATGGGGCCCCCTACTGACCCCAGGCCCTCGGGCAGTGCCCGAGTGCTCTAATGGTCAATCCGCCCCTGCACCGCACCAAAAATATGCAGGACCCTTTTTTGGGTCTGCACTAGAATCGGATCCTATGGGTATTCACATATAGGAGGTGCGGTATATCACATGTAATTCGCACAGGAACCATACCGCATTCCTGTGCGAATCACATGCGATTTGTGTGCAGTGCGATTGGAGCCATACATTTTGTATGGCTATATTCACACTGCACCCGCACCAAAAATATGCAAGACCCTTTTTTGGGTCCGCACTAGAATCGGATTGTATGGGTATTCACAGCTATGCGATCCGATTCTGCATGTCGCACCAAGTTTTGCGGACAGCTTTCAGGGGGGTTGTTAACATACACACCCACAGCGGTTCGCATGAACGGGGTGCGATTCTGATGCAGTGCGGAAATCGCACTGAAAACGCTGCAAATTGAGCACCGCACCAGTATGAACCAGGGCTAAGAGGCCTCAAGCAGTAGCACTGCATATCAGGAAACATAATTTTTTTGCAGTTAGAAAGGCAAATGACTGACTTATAAACAAATTAGTGATATAAGACAGAGGAGAAAAGTAAGAATACATTAGTATTTAGAAAAGAGAAAATAAAATGGTAGAAAAGAGGGAGGGGGAAGGGAAACAAGGACTGAAAGGGGGTCTCCAAGACCGCATGATGTCCAGAGTGAAAAATGATCAACCAGAATCTGTCAAGATGGATTTGCCTTCATCAGAGAAGATGAATACATTCCAGTAAAATCAAGTTTTCAAAAAGCATTCTTGTCTATTTTGTGAAGAAAGCACCAGGTCTTCTGTTTTGTTAATTTCCTCCACCTTTGCAGTCCACATGGACAGGATGGGGGTTGTGCGGTCTTGCACCTATCTCTTTTTTGGGCACAGATACTTAAAAGCGGGCATAGAAAAAGAGTAAAACTGATGTGGTGAGTTATATTAAAGGGGGAATAAGCAGGCGCATGGATCATGCAGTCCATGTAGTCTTTTATAGGATGGAATGTGTTGCAGATCTGGCAGAGGGTAATCCAGTTGACAATAGGGCAGTCAGTGGTAGAGTGACGCACGCTCTAGAGCAGGCCATGGTAGAGTAAAGCACACTCTAGAGCAGGCCGTGGTAGAGTGACGCACGCTCTAGAGCAGGCCGTGGTAGTTACGCACGCTCTAGAGCAGGCTGTGGTAGAGTGACGCACGCTCTAGGGCAGGCCGTGGTAGAATGACGTACACTCTAGAGCAGGCTGTGGTAGAGTCAAGCACGCTCTAGAGCAGGCCGTAGTAGAATGAAGCACGCTCTAGGGCAGGCCGTGGTAGAATGACGTACGCTCTAGAGCAGGCCGTGGTAGAGTGGTAGGCCGTGGTAGTTCAAGCACGCTCTAGAGCAGGCTGTGGTAGAATGACGCACGCTCTAGAGCAGGCCGTGGTAGAGTGAAGTAGTTATAGAATGACGTACACTCTAGAGCAGGCTGTGGTAGAGTCAGGCACGCTCTGGTAGAGTGAAGCACGCTCTAGGGCAGGCCGTGGTAGAATGAATAGAGACTGTGGTACACTCTAGGCCGTGGAGAAGACGTACACTCTAGAGCTGTGGTAGAGTCAAGCACGCTCTAGAGCAGGCCGTAGTAGAATGAAGCACGCTCTAGGGCAGGCCGTGGTAGAATGACGTACGCTCTAGAGCAGGCTGTGGTAGAGTCAAGCCCTCTAGAGCAGGCCGTGGTAGAATGACGCACGCTCTAGAGCAGGCCGTGGTAGAATGACGCACGCTCTAGAGTAGGCCGTGGTAGAGTGAAGCACGCTCTAGAGCAGGCCGTGGTAGAATGACGCACGCTCTAGACTAAAAGAACAGAAGCAGAGGACACAGCGCCTCGAAGTGTAAACTGTATAACAATTTTATTTATAAAAAGTAAGTTTGGCAACTCACATCTTCTAAAAAGTATACAGGATGAAATGTAGAAAACGTCTATGCCAGATGTTGGTAGGTGCTCTGGAAATGGCCAGTGGTTGATCAGCAGGAGCTGCGTAGGTGAAGGAGCCCAGCTGAGTTCCTGGTATGTTCTGGTGGTATTGGCGTCTGATGTCATCAGAATGCAATGCGATTCTGAGCATGTGCGGGGACCGCTAATGAACTAGTGAGTTATATTAGCCAGACAATACTTGAATTTCTCTCGTTCAGTCCGCAGGCCAAACAAGAGAAAATCAATTGATTCCTCCATACACCCTAACAGTGTGGATGGAAGAATCTCCACTGCCAGCTACCTGAATACATTGACAGTCACCTTCTTCTGCTTGCAGGGCCACAGACAGCTTTAGGGTTCATGTACACTGCAGCTGATAAACGCACGTTTAGGAGTTTTTCTGCATTTTTTTTCCAGCAGCCCCTGAACTCTCCCTAATGTTTTCCTGTGTGTCCATGTACACATCATCATTTACAGGCAGTTGAGTTTAGAGTTGTTTGTTTTTTTTTTAATGCACCAAACTTGTGTTCAGGAGTATATTTGATCAGAGTTTCAAACGCCAAATGCTTGTAAACGCAGCTAACCGCGTTTAGAAGCATTTGCGTTTAGAAGCGTTTTTTAACTGTTCCATATCTAAATGCTGTCCAGAGACTTTTTCCATAATCAGAAATGCACGCAAAGCGTTTTCCATGTATTCAAATGGACCCGGTACACCAGCGCAGTCAGTTCCAGGTTTTGCGTGAAGGAAAAAATGGTAGAACATGCCGCATTATGCTCATGATGGGATCCATAGTGAATATAACCAGAAAAGACAGGTCATCTCAACACATACTGCTCTCTCTGCTTCTGCTCTCTCTATTTCTCTCAAAATGTCTGAAATAGTTAATTTTTTACTGTTTTTCAGTGCATTCTGGGCATTTTTGAAGGTCTCCTGATGTTATCTTTAAAAAATGCTTTTAAACGCAAACGCACATAAACGCAGTATGCAAATGCGGCTAAACAGACGTTTTTTAACCTACATTTTCCAGCAGTCAGTTTCTATTGTTCAGAAGAGTTTTCCAAATGTCCCGTGTACATGAAGCCTTAGGGTGAAGCAGAGCGGCATTAGAACATGTAGCAAATCAGCGAATGGACGGTGATGTAAAAAGTGCATTACACTTTCACATAGTCTGCATGTAAGCTTCATCTATAAATTGATAATACGATGCTGGTTAAAGAGTGTTGCAGGTATCTGTGATGGCAGTCACACATACAAGTTTATTTAGTGAAACTTTGCAATGAGAACTGTTTTTTTTCATTAAATCATATGGTGAACCTATGGGCTCCAAAAGGAAAAACTGATTAAACTGCGGAACTGAAAATTTTCAAACTTTCATTAGGAAAATACAAGGAAGAGCCTGGCACTTCAGTTTCCAATGCAGGAGTTTTATAAAGGATCCCTTCGTATAGGTGTAGAGCCTGCAAAGCAGACTAGTTTGTGGTAAAGTCAGACTCCTTTTCATTTGTGTTGTTTAATATGAATCTGTCAGGCAATATAAGCAATACTACAAGGTGTAGGCGCAGGTATCTTTTTAAGGCTAGGTTCACACCTATGCAGTTTGCTTTTGACCTGTTTCTGCATTGCGTTTTGCATTTTTGATGCATTTATTTTTTGTTGCTAGGCAGATTTAAAATGAAAAAACGCAGCAAAAATGCACTACATGCTTTTCTGCAGCGTTTCCATTGACGTCTATAGAACCAAACTGTAGTGCCTTTCTGCAAAACCCAAAATGTGGCGGAAAACTCATAAGTGTGAACCTAGGGTCAGGGCCAGACTGACAATTCATGGGGCCCCCAGGCAATAGGGGACCATGGGGCCCCTGTGTCCTTGCCCAAACTCAAAAAAGCCTATGAAAAAGGTACCAGGGGCATCTCATGGGGCCCCCTACTGACCCCGTGCCCTCGGGCAGTGCCCGAGTTTCCAAATGGTCAGTCCGCCCCTGCCTAGGGTAAGTCTTCATTAAGGTCTGATCATACACTGCTAAACATGTGCTAAACAGCATGGATGGAGAAATCTCAGCTCATGGCTATTGTTTTCTGCCACCTAGTACTTGTGGCTGTCAGAATGTCTGAACAATGACTATGACTGGTTGGATGCAGCCACTGTTTAGTTGACATATACAAATGAAGTTGTTCATCAGGAGCTGGCAAAAATTCACTCCGTGTATGGGCAGCCTAAAGTGTTAATAAATCCATGACCCCATATTCACTGTATACTGTCTTTCACAGTACACAGAACATGGGAATGCAATTAGTTTAGTAAATTTAAACTGCTATATACCTTTTCTCATCAGCAGTATATAGCAGTCTTGTGACTTCTATCAGTGTCCAGCCGAGCACTGGTTAATATTGTAGGAGGAGTTTTCATTCTCTTTTGACTGTCCTATGAGGCTGCATGACCCCTGACCCTCTGTTTGGACAGCACTGATCACATGCACACTCACCAAATAAAAAACTCTCAAGCAATACACACCAAACAGAGCATGTGCAGACTTGCCACTGCTTTGTACTATGGCAGATGGATTGGAGAAAGTAAAAGAAGGGGAGGACCAGAGAAGACAGGATCAAACAGCCTTTTTACACAATGTGGAGTATTAACCCCTTAGGTTCCACTTCCACAGTATATAAACCAGTGCATGTCCTTTTTATGGCAGAATGCATTTGCTTCTCTGCAAAACAGCTGTGTGGTGCCTCTGTGAAAGACGGGTGCTAACTCTTACCATACCTAATTATTGCATTAAGTACCTCCTAAGGCCTCATGCACACTGGACATTTTTACAGCTGCTGCTTTGGAATTTTGGCATTTTTTTCTATAGCCAGTAAACCCCCCAGCATGTTATCCATGCACACGTAGGCTTTGATCAGCAGTTTTTGGCTGGGGCATTTTTGGCTGAAAAAAACCCAAAACTAGAGGGTTTCTAGAGGTGCTTTTTAGCTGTAAAAATAATCTATTGCGGGTAAACACTGTAGAACACGGTAAATGTGGCAAACCAGCGTTTCTGAGCGTTTTTTTTTTTTTGCAAAAATTTATTTTTTTTAGTGCATAAAACGCTAACTGGAAAAACACAGCTAAACGCGGCAAAACGCTAATGCAAAAATGTGGAAAAACGCACTACCGGCGCTTCTAAAATGCCCAGTGAGCAGGAGGCCTAATAGGCAAAATTAGAGCATATTTCAGACAACATATTTTTTGTTGTGTACTGGACAGCTTCTATAAATTCTTTACAACAACCAGCACAGGCAGATGTCTCCAAATTATTCAAAAGTGCAACTTTAAATGACCTCCAACATACCTTATGATTTATACATTTTCCTCTAATCAATCCCCCATTCGGTGAACTGTAGTGTATGACATAATTTATAGTACAAAAAAACAAAAACAAGGTTCAACTTCAAACATTTCAAGACATTTTTTACAGATGCTTCATCGTGTGAGATTACCAATTAGCAATCTAAACAAAATAAATTAACTATGTAATTACAGAAACAAAACATTTCAAAACAACGTAATGTTGCCCCATAGGATTAAAAAAAAAATAAGGGTTTTAGGCAATTTTCAGGTAACATCAAAAACTATAAACAGGTATCAACCTTTGGCTTATTGTTTGGCAGAGTATTGTTCTGTGTTAGTCATTGGTAGATGGATGGAAGTGCAGAATTTAATTGGTACCTTATCTAATAGGAGTAGATAAAAAAAAATGAAAGCCTTTAAGACTACAATATCTGGCTTAAGCTGGCCATAGATGATACGTATCTCAGCCAACTCAGCAGGAACTTGCCAAGATTCAAACTATTTATGGGCAGGCTGATTTTACCCAAGTAGATCCATCGATGACAAGATCTGTGCTGGATGTCACACTGATAAAAATACCCTATAATTTCAGCTCACATACTTTGTTTTTCAAGCCCTGATGAAGGGTGTCTTTGGACCTCTGAAAAGCATGTCCACCCCTGGTCCAATCCTATACTGGAATAAAATTGCATCCGGACTAGTCATTTGCGGTGTGGTGCTTCGGTCTTAAAATATGATTCCCTACATATTAAGTCACCATTTCTTCAACCATTCCAACATTTCTGGCAGTTATTTTTGCAGATCTTTTGACATACTAACAAACATTCCTCTGTCATAGAAATGTGATATATGACTTATATGCCTGTAATTGGAAATAATCTAATGCTAGCAACACACAGACTACATTTATACCAATTTCAACCCGGTTTCAACAATGGATCAAGACTACCTATGTTTTTGTTGCAGCCAAACTCTAAATGAATGTGGTTAACCCCTTCATGCCTAAGGGTAAAACAAATCTTGAAGCCTAAGTAAAATTTTACAATTTGACATGTGTTAGTAATCACAACTACTTTGTACATCCAGGTGAATTATACCTTGTTTTTTTTCAGAACAAATTGGGCTTTCATTTGGTGCTAAATGGTAATGGATATCTCCTGGATTTTTTTTTTATTATCAAAGGAAAACTGGCCCAAAATAGTAAAAAAATATTTTTCTTTTTAATTTAGCTGTGTGTTTCTTTTTACTACCATAACCTACCACCAAAGAACAACCCAAAATACATTTTCCAGATGATCGCAGCGATACCATATATGTGTTTTTTTATTTGTTGTTTGTACCTATACTACAGCTCAGAAACAATAGTGCGCATTTTGTTTTTTTGGAGTTTTTTTTTACCTAAAACACACTGACACTGATACCAATAAAAAAATAATCCTGACCTTTGACCCTGACCTTTGACCCAAACACTAACCCTGGCACTGAACTAGATCAAACCTTGATCTATGTATTTTTTCTTTATTGTTTCTTTTCTTTTTTTATTATTTATTTATCTTTTTATTTTTTTAATTTTTTTACAAACAGTTGTTTTTGTTTTCTCTATGAAAGGGGAGAGAGAGATACAATGTGTCTCTCTCCTCCATTCATAGAGAAAAAAAAACAAGGGAGGTGGGCTTCACAGTGACTGATCACTGTGATAGCCATTCAGAGGCTATCACAGCAATCATGTGACCTGGAATCGGGAGTCCTTGGTCCTGATCATTAGAACGGGACCTGGGGGTTCTCAGTGACACCCTGGTCTTTGTGCTGGGGGCACGCTCCCAGCTCCAAGACAGGTAAACAGATATGCGGCCCCACGGAAAAAAGCTTAGTTCTGTGAGGCCACATATTTGTGTTACGTTGGCGCCAAGGGGTTAACTTGGTTTAAATTGCATGAAAATTGTTGTGTGTGGCCAATATGAATAGTTAACTAACAATAAAGGTCTGCACACCACTATTAACTACATCATTCAACTAGCAATGCATAGGGGTTGATTTACTAAAGACAAATAGGCTGTGCACTGCAAGTGTACTTGCAAGTGCACTAAAAGTGCGATTGCTCTAGATCTGAGGGGAACATGCAAGGAAAATGAAAAAAAACCCAGTATTTTTGCTTGCACATGATTGAATGAAAGAAAACAGCAGAGTTTCACCTCATTTCAGAGCTTCCCCTCGGATATAAAGCAACTGCTTTGCAGTTCAGTTGAAGTGCACTTGCAGGTGTTCTTGCGGTGTACTTGCAATGCACAGCCTATTTTATTTTAGTAAACCAACCCCATTGTTACTAGCAATAGCAATATATTATTATTTAGGATGCTTAAACCTCTCCACAGTGTATCCATCTGTTAGTACAATATGTTTAATGTATAAAGTAAGCACCAGGGGTGGACTGACAACTCATGGGGCCCCTGGGCAATAGGGGATCATGGGGCCCTTGTGTCCTTGTCCACATTCAAAGCACACCCAAAAAAACCTATAAAAAAGGTACCAGGGGCATTTAATGGGGCCCCCTACTGACCCCGGGCTCTCTGACAGTGCCCAAGTGCTTGAATGGTCAGTCCGTCCCTGGTAAGCACACCACATCGCCAAACTGCTTTAGCAATAAGTTTGTATTCACCATATACAGTACATACAATCACCTAGCAGGTACAGATAACCAAGTATGTCATCTAACATCAAGCATAATACAACAAAGATGTACATCCCATTGTTGAATAACAGCAAAGAACATGCATGCATATAGGTGCAATGAGCTACACCTAAAATGTAGAAGAGCTGATGTTCAGAACTACATACAGGAAAACAATACCCAAAATAGAGTAAAAAAGGAAGTCTGAACCAGACCCTGGTGAAAAGAGAAAGGAGGGAAAAAATAATGTTTTGGAGATAAAAAAAAACCCTTTCTCAAGAACCCCGTACCTCCAGGTTATCTGTACCCAGAGGCGGACTGACAACTCATGGGGCCCCGGGCAATAGGGGATCATGGGGCCCCTGTGTCCTTGCCCACACTCAAACCACACCCAAAAAAGCCTATGAAAGGTACCAGGGGCATCTCATGGGGCCCCTTACTGACCCCGGGCCCTCGGGCAGTGCCCGAGTTTCCATGGTCAGTCCGCCCCTGTCTGTACCTCCTAGGTCAGGGGTGGGCAAACTGCGGCTCTCCAGCTGTTGTGGAACTACATTTCCCATGAGGCATTGCAACATTACAAAACTGACAGTTACAGCTATGACTTGCAGAGGCATGATGGAACTTGTAGTCCTGCAACAGCTGGAGAGCTGCAGTTTGCACACCCCTGTCCTAGGTGATTGTATGTACTATACATGCCTAATACATATTACTTTATACATCATACTTTATGGCTAATGTGGTGTGCTTACTCTATACAGTCAAGACCAATATAAACAGTCAAAACCAAAAACATTTTCTTACAGTGAAGATAATCTATTCTAGAAATAAAGTTTATGTAAACCCAACATCCGTCTTTCCGTTATTTTGTGGCATCAAGCCTCACTGTATACAGTTTTCTAAAGCAAATTGTGGATCTATGGCAAATGTCTTACCCTGAGACCTTGGTAGTAGCACTTTAGAAGATGTATACAGTGAGCTACAATGCCAAACATACTGGAAAATAAATGTTGGCTTGAAAAGACAATACACAGGGAGATTAAAAATTATATTTTCCTGGAAAAAACATCATTTAGTAGGAAAAAACAAATCAGATGGAACTGACTAAAGATGTGCAGTAGTCTGAAATGTGAGAAAATGTGCCTTTTTTTCATGCCAAACTTTGACCAAAATTTTACATGTAGCCCCTTGAGGCTATCCATACTACTCATGTTCTCTGGGTACTATCCATACTATTCTACAGCTCTGGGTACCAATAAGGTAGAATATGCAGTGCAAAGACAGCAACAGATGCCATTGGTTGGTTGTGTTGGAGATATTCCTCTGATGTTCCAATGTTCAATGTAGAGATAATCAGATTAGAGAGGGTCACCGCTCATACATGCACACAGGATACAAGACACCCATCACTTAAGTAGAAACCTTTAACCAGCAATCGTTGGCAACTGATTCAGTGCACAGAATGAGTTCCTGAATTCGTTGTAGGTAGGTACCAAATACTTTCTGAATTGATATGTTTCTTGTCGACAAATGTCTCAATTTTCCAACAATATGCAAATGGTACATTACACTTCCTAGTCGTTCTGGGTTATTCATCCGCCATACATTTCAGGTCAGGGCCTTATGCAGAGATAAACTCTAAAATAGAATGAAGTTGAGGAATTTTCCTGCCCAGCTTGTGGCAGGATAAGGAGCTTCCTTCTTGTTGATTTTTTCCACATCCTTCCTTCTTTGCATTCCGTTGGTCTATATTTTGTATTTTCATTGCAGAGGAAATGAAAATGACCAAAATTGTTTTTCTTCATTGATTGTTGCTCGTAATCTGGTCCTCCAGTCATCATATTTTGTAGGCTGAAATATTTATCTTACGTCTTTGTTAGAGATGGGCAGAAGGACACTATCTCTGTGATGTGGTCTTCCACATCTTGGCCAAACCCAACAGCCGGAGGACTAAAGTCTGAATAATGATTCCATTATCTAAAAATGGTGGTCTTTTCACCTGGGGTTACTCATACATCCATAGGCATGTTTTAGAACTAGGGTGTTGTGGCCAGGTAGTGGGCTCTTATAGTAGTGTTCAACCAAATCTCCAACGTCTGAAAACAGTATTTCTGTCTCAAGATAAACTTTTGTGTCCTACAAAAACAAAAGAGATCAATTAGAATGAGATTTCACTGTTTTCAATTATAGCAACAATACTGCAATGACAACTGTGCAAGGGCCCGTTCACACCGTATGCATTGGACAACTTTGACCAACACAGTCTTAGCACATAGACAAAGCAATTTGCCTTATGTTCTGTTGATTCAGTTCACACCGACACAGTGGGGGTTGATTTACTAAAGGCAAATATGCCGTGCACTTCAAGTGCAGTTGCTCTAGATCTGAGGGGAACATGCAAGTAAAATAAAAAAAACGGCACTTTTACTTGCACATGATTGGATGAAAGAAATCAGCAGAACTTTGCCTCATTTCAGAGCTTCCCCTCAGATATAAAGCAACTGCAATTTCAGTGCACTTGTAGTGCACATTGTATTTACCTTTAGTAAATCCACCCCAATATATCGGTGTGCACTGAATAAAGTAGGACAGGATGCATTTTTACGCAGTGCAGCACATTATGATCACAAAAAAAGGATGAATGAAATGGAATGTTGTGACATTTGAATAAAGTAAAAAAAGGTAAGCTACACGTCATACCGCCCCTTCAGATCGAATGCCAACTGGCATAGGCATTAAAAACAAAAAAACAAAAACGCATACTAAGTTCATCTTTGCAATACATTCGTATTTCCCCATGTTTTATCCTGCTGCAAGTGCATAAAAAAATCCTGTTGACGCTTAAGAACCCACCTACAGAGGAAGAGGAAGGGCTTTGTTTGTAGAGGAAGGAGATGAAGTTCTGAAAGCTGTCTTACATCAGTAGGATCTGAGCTTCCAACAGCTGCTTGTTTACAAGAATTTGACAAGGCTAGCCATCACAGGGAGTAATAAAAATTGTGTCTTTCAGGAACAGCGTACAAGGAAAAAAATAATGCTGGAGCATGCTGTAGAGCAGGGGTCTGCAAAAGTTCTAAATAAAGGGCCAGTTTACTGTCCTTCAAACTTTAGGAGGGCCGGACTGTGGCCAGCAAGAGTAGAAAATGTCTTGGTGTCAGTGGGAGTTAACAGTGTCTCATCTTTGGTGTCAGTGGGAAGAATAGTGCCCCATCGTTGGCGTCAGTAGGAGGAATAGTGCCCCATCTTTAGGGCCAGTGGGTGGAATAGTGCTCCATCGTTGGTGTCAGTCGGAGGAATAGTGCCTCATCGTTGGTGTGAGGTGGAGAAATAGTGCCCCATCGTTGGTATCAGTGGGAGGAATAGTGCCCGATCGTTGGTATCAGTGGGAGGCATAGTGCCCCATCGTTGGTGTCAGTGGGAAGAATAGTGCCCCATTGTTGGTGTCAGTAGGAGGAATAGTGCCCCATCTTTAGGGCCAGTGGGTGGAATAGTGCACCATCGTTGGTGTCAGTGGGAGTAAGGGTGCCCCATCATTAGTGTCAATGGGAAGAATAGTGCCCCATCGTTGGCGTCAGCAGGAGGAATAGTGCCCCATCTTTAGGGCCAGTGGGTGGAATAGTGCTCCATCGTTGGTGTCAGTGGGAGTAAGGGTGCTCCATCGTTGGTGTCAGTGGGAGGAATAGTGCCCCATCATTGGTGTCAATGGGAGGAATAGTGCTTTGTTGTCGGTGTCATTGGGAGGAATACTGCCTCGGTGTCAGTGGCAGGAACTATTCCCCACTGTTGCTGACAGTGGGGGGAATAACGGCCCAAGGGCCAGATAAAAGCCATCAAAGAGCCACATTCGGCCCCAGGGCTACAGTTTGGAGACCATTGCTCTAAAGGGAGCATTCAAAACAGGCCTGCACATCCATCACCTGATGTCTATGGGCATCCTTAACAGCGTAGAGAAAAAGAAAGTTAAATACACATAGACAGTATACAGACTGCTAAGAATTAGGGCACCTACCATATGGAGGTATGCAGACAATGACAGAACATGACCAAGGTAGAAGGTTGTTTCCTACTAATCTGTATCACTTCTGCTACCATAGAATAGTATGCTAACCCATATATATGGGTTAGCATACTTCTACACAATGTTAGCAACCTTCTACACAATGTTGTAGACTACTTCTGCATTTCATTTAAAGGAATAAGAGTGCCATGGTGAGCATGAATCCCCATAATAAGGGTCTACCTTTCCATACTTGGGGGCATAAAATGCAAGCACCCATGTTATGGGACTGGTCTAGACTAACAAATGTGCATTTGCCATGAAGGCTACTGTCTTTGAGAATATTCTTTAGCTACTGTTTGATCATATGGGCTGACTGGTCAGTTAGCTGTGCATTAAATGTTATCAAAATGACTGGATCCTGCACAGGTCCAACTCTGAGGCCCCAGCTATTGTGATGAATGAACTATGGTGCCAGTGTAGAAATATATTTAGCACTTTGAGGCTCTGATCTAACACTTACTGTTTTCTTCCTATCTGGGCTAATTTGTATTTTAGCACTGTAGCAGGTAAATTTTGTAGGAGGCTCATACTTGCATCAACATTTACCCAAATCTGAATGTAAAGCCTAGTACACACGATGACAAAATCAGACATAAAATACCACTTTCAGAGCGATCGTCCAATAATCTGATCGTTAGTACTTTCAAGAGCCATTCACGACAGTCCATGCAAAATTATCCAAAGGATATCCAAAGCATGAAAAATTTTCTGGTGCAATACCAGAACAAATGATTTTCATTTTGTCCCAAAAAACTGAGGAACCAAGACCACGCATGCTCGGAAATGAAAGAATACAATACAATACATTACATCACTTCTGAAATTGTATTCTGTCTTATAAGAATTTTCAGAACCTCTTCATTTTAGATTTGAGACTATCACGCAAAAAAAAAAAAGAAAGATCATTTGTCCAATATTCTCACTGCGTGTACGAGCATTTATTTTATCAGAATTTTTAGCTGCACTGTCATAACTACATTAGTGCTGATAATCTTTCCAA